TATATATATATATATATATATGTTAGAGTAACCACCCTCGTCTTCTTTCTAAATTTCACTGAAGGAATCGAATTAACAATCATAAAGTCAAAATCCACTCTTCGAATCCTTTCTAAAGGTATAAATTTCTTTTACTTTTATTATGATGTTTACGTTAGGATTTTTTTGACCGGTTTATAAATTGTGTTTATATCTAAGTTTACGGATTGATATTGTTAAAATTATGATATCTTTCATGTTTAGATTGTTATGATTGGTTAAAATTGTTGTACAAATTAAAAAGTTAAAGTATGGAATCAATATGGTTAGATTTGGTGTTTATAATTATACGCACACCAAATGTTCAATTAAATGTTGAAAAGAGTAAAATTGCATGATTAATATTAGGTTAGCGATCATTGGACTTTCTTTTACTGTTTAGTATGTTGAGGTATGTTTAGAACACTTAAATGTAGCAAATCATGAAGTTGGGATCATAAAAATTAAATGGAAAAAAAGTGAAAATCGGATTTTACCGACTGTGCAGGTCCATACTTTGACTGTGCGTAGATCACAAACTGTACGTCTAAAAAGGCCCATATTTTTCATGGAGAAATACCTAAATGTATACTACAACTCTTATAAAGTTCCTCAAACCCAACTGTGACTCTAAGTGGCTCAAACATGGGTGTTTTTAGGACTGATCATAGTGTACTCGGGATCAGTCCCTGTGGTTTTGTAAAATTTGTGTAAAATAAATGAATGATTCAAATGAGAGATTCCAAAACTAATAGATTCATAAGATATCATACTACAACTTTTATTCGGATAGTATTTTCTGTATTAGCTTCTAAGTGGGGTAAAAATGCTCACGAAAATGAGGGACAAAAGCTGTTAAAAGCCAGGAACGAAAATGTATAAAGCTAAGTGTTGAGTCGATTTCTCACTGCATAGCCAACTATCCATTGTTGAAGACTAAGTTGTTTATTATAACCTACATATATTATTAGAACTCTAACAGGAAAAGCAAAGACCTCATCTACCGCATTAATAGGTAATCCCGCATCTGAAGTCTTATGGTTTTTACGTATAATTACGGTATGAGTTGTATGTTATGCGAGTAATAATAATTCATGGTTTAAATAGGCAATACGAGTTAAACTTCGTCGTAAGTCTCGGTTGATCGCGTGTTACATTTCAATTTGGTTAAGGTATGGATTTCACTTCATTTGACTCGTGGCAACTATTTGTTGTAGTTGGCCTTCCCAAAGGTGGTTCACCGCCTTGTGATTGATCAACTAAATGCGATCAACAAATGTGTTATACACAACATATACATTGATTTTGGTTTATTAAATATTCTGTTTGAACCTTTGGCGTTTCATTAAAATGTGTCTCGTATGGATTTGGTTATGAAACTTGTGAACTATATTGAACTTGATTTTATATGAACGTCATTCGGGTAAGTTACACATGTTTAGTTTTCGTTGTTTTTAGAATAACCCAATTAATGGGCACATTACTTGGGATGTCTTCTATGACGGATTTGTAGTCATAGCGTCCTGCAAGTGGACTCGATCCACTAGAGTTAGTCCCAATAGTGGCTTCCATGAACCGACTCTTGGGACTAGGTCGACTTCGTTGGCTCCAGGGCCTATGGATTGATCCTAGAACTTTTACTCATAAAGCATGTGACTGTGGTTATACACGGGGGATTCAGGTCTATGTGCCCGCTCGCCAACCCAATAGTTCATGTGGTTTGGCCACCTCACGAACACAACAGGAATTGACGGACTTTATTTATATTACATTTTGAAGTTAAATTGTGAACCGTTCTTTAGATTATTGCTTTTGAATATTACTAAACGTTTCTTCTGAATTAAACGAACTATGAACTTGAATTTCATGAACTTTCTTCAATTGAATTTTTAAGTCTTTCGCTTTGTTATCGATGTGTTTATTATTATTTCTGAATTTATAATATAATCCATTTCATTGAGCCTTGTACTCAGCGTTGTTTTGTTTTCTGATACGGTAGGTTTGAAGTGGCGCTTATAGGGTCGGGACTTGAGATTGAGTGTGAAAATCTTGAGTTCTTAGACTGTCCTTATTATATAAATGCTCTAAGTAGACTTTTTGAAGTGTAATATTTGGGACTGTAAAATATATTTTTAGAAGTCTGTAATTTATGTTTAGAGTTTATTAGTAGCTCTGAATTAGTTGTGTATTTATGTTAAGTTTCGTTCGTGACATCATCCATTCTGGACTACGGGGACGGGGGATGTTACAACACACGAGGTAGATAAGGGAACTAATTAAAAGTGTTACCCAAATTCACAATGGTGGTACTACAAAATGCACCACAAACAGTTGTCCCAACCTAGACAACTATACCCAAGAAACATTTCTTGATGATGGGAGAGATCCTTGCAAAAGAATTGGAGCAGTAGCCTACCAGCTAGAGCTACCAGAAGAGCTTAGTCTCATCCACAACACTTTCCATGTATCCAACTTATGTAAGTGTTTGGCAGAGGCCACCCAAGCCATCTCACTTCCAGAGATCAAGTTAGATGAGAAGTTGAACTTCCAAGAGGCACCAGAAGCCATAACTGACAGTAAGGTCAAGACTCTAAGAAATAAAGAAATCAAGCTGGTGAAAATTCAGTGGAGGTTTCATAAAGGTTCTGAAGCAACATGGGAGTTGGAATCAGAGATGAGAACCCATTATCCTTGGTTGTTTGAAATGTGAGTTCCAGGACGAAATTCTTTTGAGGGGGAAATAATGTGATAACCAGGCTTTCAGACATATTGGGTTAAGGTACATTATGTGTTTATGTGTTAATAAGCATGAATTAATTGGAAGTATGTGATTATGCATGCTAAATAAAATGGATTATATGTGTATGTGGTGTGAATAATTTCTGTCCACATAATTGGAAGCAACATACAAGCACCTTGGTAAGCAGCTTGTATGATGCTGCTGAATGATTTCTGTCCACATAATTGGAAGCA